GACGGGTGTCTAGCGGCTATCAATGAAAAGCCGGTGGATTTCGCAGATGACATCAAATGGAACGAGATGGACGGGAATGCTATGGCAAACTTTCATCTAGCATTAGCAGATGAAGTATTGTCAAGCATCGAGGAGAAGAAGACAGCTAAGGAGATATGGGATCATCTCACCAAATTGTACGAGGCCACATCGCTGCACAATAAAATTTTCCTTAAGAGGAAATTGTACACTCTCCGTATGCCAGAATCTACTTCAGTGACGGAGCACTTAAATACACTAAACACCTTATTTTCTCAGCTTACATCCTTAAGCTGTAAAATAGGAGAACAAGAACGTGCTGAACTTCTAATTCAAAGTCTACCGGATTCGTACGATCAACTCATCATCAACTTGACAAATAGTAATGTCACCAGTCTAGTTTTCGATGACGTTACAGCTGCTGTTCTACAAGAAGAAAATCAGCGCAAGAACAAGGAAGACAGACAAGTAAATCTGCAACAAGCAAAAGTGTTGACACGATGAGAGGGATATCAACAGAACGTGGCCAAAGCAGCAGTAACAAACATGGTAGATCGAAGTCAAGGAGCAAGAAGAATTTAAAGTGCTACAACTGTGGAAAGAAGGGTCACTTGAAGAAGGACTGTTGGAGTCTAAATAAAAACTCCAATCCACAAGGCAATACCGCAAACACTTCAGATGATGGAGATGCTCTATGCTGTGAAGCGTCAACCACCGTGGAAGGCAGAAAAAGATTTACAGATATATGGCTCATTGATTTGGGAGCGACATATCACATGACCTCAAGAAGAGAATGGTTTCATCATTATGAACCTGTCTCAGGAGGATCTATGTATAGTTGCAATGATCATGCCTTAGAGATCGTTGGTGTAGGAACCATCAAATTAAAGATGTATGATGGAACAATTAAAGTTGTTCGAGATGTGCGGCACGTGAAAGGCCTGAAGAAAAATTTATTATCCTACGGATTGTTGGATAATAATGCAAGCAAGATTGAAACACGGAAAGGAATCATGAAGGTGTTCCGTGGAGCGCTTGTGGTGCTAAAAGGCGAAAAAATAGCTGCAAACTTGTACATGTTGAAGGGAGAGACTTTGGTAGAAGCAGAAGCCTCTGTTGCCTCATGTAGTTCAGATTTGGCAATGCTATGGCATCAGAAACTTGGACACATGTTAGAACAAGGAATGAAAGTTCTTGTGGAGCAAAAGCTACTTCTAGGCTTAACAAAGGTATCACTTACTTTGTGTGAGCATTGCATAACAAGTAAGCAGCGCCGGTTGAAATTCAACACGTCAAATTCTATAGGCAAAAATGTTCTAGAATTAGTTCATTCTGACGTATGGCAAGCACCAGTTACATCCCTAGGTGGAGCAAAATACTTTGTCTCATTTATTGATGATTACTCTAGGAGATGTTGGGTGTATCCTATTAAGAAGAAGTCAGATGTGTTTTCAACTTTCAAAATCTTCAAAGCGCGGGTGGAACTTGATTTTGGAAATAAGATCAAGTGTTTCAGAACAGATAATAGAGGAGAATACACAAGCGAAGAATTTGATGACTTTTGCAAGAAAGAAGGCATCAAAAGACAGTTTCACAATGGCAAACACTCCTCAACAAAATGGAGTGGCAGAGCGGATGAACAGAACCTTGTTAGAAAGAACAAGAGCAATGTTGAGGGACGCAGGCCTAGAAAAATCATTCTGGGCAGAAGCAGTCAATACCGCCTGTTATTTTGGTGAATCGAGCTCCATCAACTGCAATAAACACCAATGGAGATGTGGACTGGTAAACCAGCTGATTATTCAAACCTCCATATATTTGGAAGTATTGTGTACGTGATGTACAACTCCCAAGAAATTTCAAAGTTGGATCCAAAATCCAGGAAATGCAAATTCTTGGGGCATGTTGATGGAGTAAAGGGGTATCGCTTGTGGGATCCCACTGCTCGTAAAGTGATCATTAGTAGATATGTTATCTTTGTAGAAGATAAACTACAAAGAAAAGACGACGATGATAGCGCTGAAAAATCAGAGACTACTCAGATACATGTGGAAAAAGAGTTTGAAGAAGGAGATTCTTCTGAAGCAGAACCAGTACATGATGAACGAGAACCATAGAGTTCTGAAGCTCCAACAACTCGTCAATCAGATCGTGTGAGAAGACATCCCAATTGGCACTCAGATTATGTTATAGAAGGTAATATTGCATACTGCCTTTTAACAGAGGACGGTGAGCCATCAACATACCAAGAGGCAATAAACAGCTCAGATGCTTCACTATGGATGATGGCGATGCAAGAAGAAATTGAAGCCCTTCATAAAAATAATACATGGGACCTTGTGCCACTACCACAAGGAAGGAAGCCAATTGGTAACAAATGGATCTTCAAAATCAAGCGAAATGGTGACGATCAAGTTGAGAGGTATCGTGCAAGACTGGTGGTCAAAGGATATGCTCAAAAAGAAGGTATTGATTTCAATGAAATATTTTCTCCTGTGGTTTGACTAACAATAGTTCGAGTAGTCTTGGCAATGTGTGCTACATTGAACTTACATCTAGAGCAGCTAGATGTTAAAACAGCTTTTTCTTCATGGAAATCTTGAAGAAGAGATTTACATGCTCCAGCCTGAAGGTTTTGAAGAAAAAGAAAAGAAGAAATTAGTTTGCAGGTTGAACAAATCTATGTACGGTCTAAAGCAGGCGCCAAGGTGTTGGTATAAGAGATTTGATTCCTTCATTATGTGCCTTGGATACAACAAACTTAATGCAGACCCTTGTGCTTATTTCAAGAGGTCTGGTGATAACAATTTTGTTATATTACTGTTGTATGTGGATGACATGTTGGTTGCAGGACCCAACAAAGATCATATTGAAGAATTGAAGGCACAATTGGCTAGAGAATTTGAAATGAAGGACTTGGGATCAACAAATAAGATTCTAGGGATGCAAATTCACCGAGACAGAAGTAATAGGAAGATTTGGCTTTCACAAAAGAATTACTTGAAAAGATCTTGGCACGATTCAACATGTAAGATAGTAAGGCAATTTCTACCCCTCTTCCTATTAACTTCAAATTATCCTTCAGTATGAGTCCTAGCAGTGAAGAAGAGAGGATGAAGATGTCTTGAGTACCGTATGCATCAGCAGTGGGAAGTTTAATGTTCGCTATAATATGCACAAGACCAGACATTGCACAAGCAGTGGGAGTGGTTAGTCGGTACATGGCGAATCCAGGCAAAGAGCATTGGAATACAATGAAGAGGATCCTGAGATACATCAAAGGAACCTCAAATATTGCATTATGTTACGAAGGATCAAACTTACTAATAAATGGTTATGTAGATTCTGACTATGCAGGGGATTTGGATAAAAGCAAATCTACTACAGGATATGTGTTTAAAGTTGCTGGTGGAGCTGTAAGTTGGGTTTCAAAATTACAGTCAGTTGTGGCTACATCCACAACAGAAGCAGAATATGTAGCAGCTACACAAGCCAGTAAAGAAGCAATTTGGTTGAAAATGCTATTGGAGGAGCTTGGGCACAATCAAGAGTATGTCTCTCTGTTTTGTGACAGTCAAAGCACCTTTCATCTAGCAAGGAATCCAACATTTCATTCAAGGACAAAACACATACGAGTTCAATACCATTTCATTCGTGAAAAGGTGGAAGAAGGGACAGTAGATATGCAGAAGATCCATACCAAAGACAACATAGCAGATTTCATGACGAAGGCGATCAACGCTGATAAATTTACCTGGTGTCGATCCTCTTGTGGCCTGTCAGAGACTTAAGCAACATGAAGGTACATGGTAGAAAGAATGGTGTGAAGATATGATTGTTCCAATCAAATCTTCAAGTGGGAGATTATTAAAAATCAAATGTCAAATTTGGTGGCTGTAGAATTCTTTGGTCAAAAATGGCAAATGGGGAATGACAAATGGGTGGCTAATTCTAGTCCAAAATGGCTGCAAATTTTATTGATTTTTTGTATGGGCAAATCATAAACTTTAGTCATTAGACTCTAGGGTATTTACAAGATTAGTCCTTAAGTTTCAACTATAAATACCCTAGCTCATTTAGCTTCAAAACCATCCCAAAGCATTCTAGCTTTCTTCCAATACTAGAGAGAATTTAAAGTGTTTCTTGAGAGTTGTTTTCTCCTTTTTATCAAGAGATAATTATCATTGTTTTCTCCTTGGTCGATTGAGAGAAGTTGTAATTCCTATTTTCTCATAGTAAAATTCTTCTACCGTTGCCCGTGGTTTTTACCCTATATTATTCAGGGGTTTTTCACGTAAATTTAGTGTCTTTTTTATCTTCATTTTTATTTTCTCAAATTATCATTTGCGATTTTGCTCTATCCGATAGCCGTCTTCCGCAACACGACTGACAAAAGAAAGATAACTAAAACATGATAAAAAAATATATAATCGTATCATATGAATGTATCAAAAGTCGTTATAAAAAATATAATATATCCAACATAATTACTATACAAATGATAAATATTTTGTAATATCAATTTGTAACTTAATAGTTTGAATTAAAATTAATGGAGTCGAGCCTAGGACTTTAGGTAGTAATCTGACTTGGCCAATGGACAGGGCTATTCTAGGCAAAATTCCAAGTAGCAAGAATCAATTCCTCCCTTAAGATTACTTGCTTCCCGTACTCGGTTTATGCTTTGATTCTTTGCCTTTACAAGAAGTTCCCATGAAGCTTATCCTCTTTTAGCTAATTATCTTGCATCATCCCTTTGATTTTACTTTGTTTCCAGTCATGTATATTCATTATTAGATTGGCTCATCCGCAGGCCAAAACCAACCTACATTTTAATCAAAGATCATGACCGAAACACCCACACAACGTGGTCATCCATCGGCCGTGTTGTAGCCACGACGTGGTCGCAGACCAGCATCAAGACCAACATCCTAGCTTATCAATTACTGAAGGTAAACCACGCCGCAAGCATCCCAAAGAGAATGCCTGTTCATGTTACTCGTTTTGAGGGCCCAGCCTCCCGAACCCACCCTACAGTATGGTGTGCGGCAACTTTGTGTCTAGTTTTGTGTCTGCTAATAGTCATAGGAGGCCTAGTCCTCGTCGTGGTCTATCTCGTCTTCCGACCACGTTGTCCACTCTTCGATCTCAACAGTGTCACCTTGAATGTGGCCTCTCTCGACACGGGTTACCAGCTCGATGCTGATTTCACTTTAGCGGCTAACTTCACAAATCCAAACAAGAAGGCGGACTTCGATTTCAGTAACATGTATCTCGATCTTTACTTCGAGAAAACCCTGATTGCTACACAAAATATACAACCTTTCTCTGCTGTGAAAGGTCAGTCCAAGTTCCTAGATTTTCATATGATCACCAGTCAGGTTAGGCTTTCATTGAACCAAACACTGGTGTTTCGCAACCAGATTAAGAATAATCGGATCATGTTTATGATCAAAGCGGTGTTCCGAGCTCGATCGCTCGGAAGACCATTCAAATATGAATACTGGTTGCATGGTTATTGTGGCATTGTGGTTTCAAGCCCTCCGGCTTGGGTCTTAAGACAGAAAAATTGCATGACCAGATGTAAATAATTTGTTTTAATTTTCACCCTCCAATTTTAATAGTTTAGTTATTTTAGCCTTTAAATTTTTATTGTTCTCTTTTGGACCTCAAACTAATTAATATCAGTTTAACAGAACCATTACTATTCCTTTACATTTGAGATAATTTGACAAAAAATAATAAGTTTGATGATCAAAAGAGATGTAATAGAAGTTTAAAGACTAAAATGACTAAACCTGTAAACTTGAGGAACAAAAATGTCATTTTGCCTTTCTAATAGTTGGCTATTGTTTGGGTTTGTTGTTGAGAATGAGCATCAAATATTAGCTTCGTACTCGTATATACTTTCGAACTCTTTGCAAGTGATTTCTCAGCTCGGTCCATTCAGAAGTAATTCCTACTATGTGGATAAAACGACGGGCCCTGGAAATCCGAGTCCGGCACCATGACACTCGATAACAAACAACCCTGCAAAGTCCTTCCCTCCCGTTCTTGAAGGAATTTCTTGTCTTCTAAGTATGATTGAATATCGGCCGTAATCGACCTCAGCTCCGCATCTTGTTGGGATCTGAGGCATTTACAAAGCTCTCTGAGACAATTTTCAGCAGTTTCATGAACTGGGATTTGTATTTTCTGTAGAGAGCAAAGCCAGCCATCTGTAAAAAAAAATATCTATAGTTAGTCCTAAGAAATTTATATCTCGGCATTAGTTGTTATTTGGTCCCTTGAAGAAACCGTTTAGGTTTCCTATTTCAGTAACATTTTTTCCCGGTAAGTTCATTTTTTCAGCCATTGCTGGTATGATGCAAAAAGTAAACCGAGAGAAATCCAATTTACTTGCAGTAATGCATTCAAAGCCACAGCGGTATAAATATTGGCAGGGAGCGCATAATTAGTGAAAAATCCTGGTTAGCAGGTTCGTTTTTAACAGTCTTGATGCTACGAGCATAGAGGACAAAATCCATATGCATTAGGAATGAAAGATTACTTTCTTTTGGATTTGAGAATTAACATACCTGAACCAGTGCCCCATACAGCCTCATGTAAGATTCCAACCGTTTCAAATAATCCTTTCTACTTTCAATCTTCCAATAGTCCTCTCGGTATACGAGAACCTTCCAATAAACTTCCTTGGATTCAAATGCTGACTGAAATAGTAAATTGCAACTTAGAATCAATTTATTCATGTTTAACCTTTCCAGAAGAAGCAACAAGATAAACAGAGGCTTAATACTAAACAGAACTTGAACTCAAAATTTCAGCCAAAAATTAACATCTAAAAGTCAAAGACGTGTGTAACTGCTTAACAGGAAGAAAGCAAAGGTGCATGTTTATCAAAAAAAGAAAAAATACTCGGGAAACAAGGGCAAGTTCGAGTGCGAGCTTTTTACTCATCTGGATAGGCTAACTATCGTATGGCACATTAGCAAGCAAAAGGATGATGGCATGCCTTACATATGTTGAAAAAGAATTACCTTGTAGTACGATATATGCTTTGGGACAGTGTAAATGCAAGCTCTTTGAAGCTCAGCATTCAGCAACAAGAAGATCAATTGCTCGTGGGAACTGGGCAAACAAAGATTATTTCTATGTTAAATTCCAATTCCTGATTTAAGATCAGTAGAAATCCCCCAACCCCTCCCAAACCACGACAAAAAAAGTGGAACTGTAAAAGATGTACCTGTGATGTAACAAGGATGATGACATGCCCGCAGGCAAAGGGAGCATTATCGGGGCTTTCACACTGAGAAACAACCTGAAGTGTCAAAAGCAGAATTGAATGTCCATAACCATAAGGATTTTCAAAATCCAATCAGAAAGCAGAATAATTATTTGTGGCAGGCAAAGCATCAAAGAACTACAATTGTCGATCCATTGAAAGTGCATTGAGTAGTTCCAACTGATTTCTGAGTATATGAGAAAATATATACATGTACCATTGACAGATAATATAGAGATTTAAGATTCGATACTGAATTAGTTCCACGCATGGCCATGGGTACATAACTTGGTCATTACATTAGAGATAGTGCACTTTCTCAAGGTATACATATCTGGTTTCATTGTAAATATATATTAGCTTTCAATGTGGAGCCAGATTCGGACTTCGCCTTTTTAATTGTTAAGACAGTTTGTACATTTTCTTGAGAATGACGTGTCATTTAGTGCAAAGCAACTGTCATTACCTTCTTGGCAAAAGATGAAATGCTTATGGTTTGAGGGCAACCGGGATTGTTGAAAATCTTTACGAGCTCAGTAGCTTTCGTGCTGCAAAGATTGTTTACATATATAGTTATCAATCTAACGGCATCACGGAACTTCCGATACTAAAATTCTAGTTGAAACAAACATAAGTCATAATGCAGAAAAATATAACAAACTCGACAAAGAGTAACTACCAAAAAATTGAACACATGCAACTTACTTAACATCGTCTTTAGTCCCCTTTATTTGTCTTATCAACCTAGCAATATGCCTTTCAGTGCTGCCAAAATTCTAAAAAAACAAACATTGGTTAACCAATTTATTGATGCATACAAACAATTCGAGACACTGAAAAGAAAATATACAAATGGAGAAAATAGGATAATTTATATAATACAACTACATAACCCACATATCTACATAATGACTTTTTTTCTAGTTTTTAATTCTTACTTTTTTGACAAATACGAAAGCAATAATTTACCTCCCAAATTTATAGTTTCAATAATATCCTAGATATAAGTAGTTTGCAGTTCAATACCAGGAAATGAAGGATAGGAGTTACAGAACATTTATAAACTTACAAGGTAACAGAACCCGTAGTTGCAAATCGAACATAGATAGAAGAAATACCTCATTTGAACCTGATCTCAGTGATTGGTTTATTCCTTCCAACTCTTCTCATTTTTGTAGCCTTTCCCTCTCTAGGTTTAAACTACTCTCTGCAGCCCTGAGCATATTACCTGCCACATTGACAGTTGGCCCGGTTAAATCTTCGACATGGGATACGCATTGATGTACCTCCTTGAATTAAAATCTTGTTTTCCAGAACAAAGCACAACACATACATCTGCATTTACATGAGGCGTGCTGAAATCTATGAAGTGCAAAACCTCAAACAAAGTATGGACAACATAAAGAATATGTCTAGAAACTAGCAATCATTCAGCAGAAACATGGATAGCAATGAAATGACAATGACTGAGGTTTCGTATTTGTCCAAGCGTGTTTAGGTTCAGGGTTCTGTAACTATGTTCATTCGCAAATATGGATGTATGTAAGTACTTAAACAAAAATACCTGCTGATAATGATTTATTTGTTTTATCATTCTCAGATCCCTTGGACAGAACAATTAAAGCTCCCGAACTAGTAGCATTTGGGCGTCTTAAATCTGCCTTTAGTGGCACTTCAGAAGTAGTAGCTTTGGGGGCTTTAGATGCTTCCTTTTCTGCTGCTGCTTTTGCTGCCATCCTCTCAGATTCCAAAGCAATTCTATTGGCTTCCTCAGCTTTAAGTTTAGCTTGCATCTAGTATATAATTTCTTAATCATAAAGTAACTGTCCTTGAAATAAATAAATAAATCCTATAAAATGGAAATAGTTTCTAAAAGGATTAAAGCCATGGAAATATATGTCTCTAGAAAAAATGCATCTACAAAAAATAAGGTTTCACCGAGAAAAGGGCTGACAAATTGGAGCAGTGAACTACTATCAGAAAGCATGTAATTTGTCCTTGTTTTATTTTTGTTCTCTTTTATTCTTTGCCGCTGAAATGAAGCATTGCTCTCATATAAAGTACAAAGAAAACACAAGCAAGGTGACAAGCAACATTGTTTGAATTCTATAATAGTCAAGTCCTTCTAAAGGTCAATCAGACAAGTTTTCTTAAAAACTCAATTACATGCATGACAACCTAGCAAAGGAGATCTTCCACAGCCTACAAACATCCAGTCAGTTCAACAGTTGAAGTTTGCACAAAGTAACCCCTATACCGAGAGATGCAGGGGCACATATGCCCAAGGTCTAATATACCACATCCCGGGGGTAGAGCAAACAAACCTCTGCCTCTGATTTGGCCTTTTGTTGGCGTAGTCTTTCTTCCCGAAGAGCCTTTCCCCTTCTCTTGGCTTCTTCATGTGCTGCATCATTTCGTATTCTCCTTTCTTCTATTTCTGATTTGAATTCATGATCCCATGGACAGCATTCAAGTGATTATCAATCCCTTCCGCACTGTAGCAATTTCATGAAATTTTAAGAAATGGTTTCCAAAACAGCAAGCACAATGGGTAATCTTGGAAGCTCATTAAACTTTAACATAACCATCCGTTACTATCTAATTCAAAAGTATGCAATCTTACTTTTCTTCGTGGGAATGTAAGATTACCAGTGAATATGATTATTGATAATGTTGTATTTTGTGTTTGGTTGATTTAACAATAATGTAATATTATCGTATTTGATTAAAGAAATAAAGGATTATTGGAATGTATATTTAACCAAATTATCCTTATTATATGTTTGTATAATATTATAAGTTAGAAAATATTTATATATTTTCTTTAAAAAATTTAAATTCATAAAATTTATATAATTTTTTTACAAAATTAAAAATATAAAAAAAGTTTAATAAAATGATAAAATTTTATTTTAACTCCTGAACTTCATATAAAATTTTAATTATAGATTTTTTTGTAAATCTAAAATAGTTTAAGGATAAATTTATAATTTAATTTTCATAGAATTTTTATTATTCAATGACAGAAGAAAATGTAATATTATCGTATTTGATTAAAGAAATAAAAGATTATTGGAATGTATATTTAACCAAATTATCCTTATTATATGTTTGTATAATATTACAAGTTAGAAAATATTTATATATTTTCTTTAAAAAATTTAAATTCATAAAATTTATATAATTTTTTTACAAAATTTAAAATATAAAAAAGTTTAATAAAAGGATAAAATTTTATTTTAACTCCTGAACTTCATATAAAATTTTAATTATAGATTTTTTTGTAAATCTAAAATAGTTTAAGGATAA